CAATAGTTCTTTTCCTTTAGTTGTAGTTAGCCTAGAGCCACAGTTGGTATTTTTTGCATTAAAGTCGCTACCGATGATGTATCTTTTTCCTAAAGTGTTCATAAACTCTTCATATTCTTTTAATGGAGTGTCTAGGAGGACAATATATTGAACTTATATTTAAGGTATGTGTTTTCATCTTAAAACAGATTATTGTAGCTTGTATGTGCTCAGCTGCATATTTTAATTCCTCATGATGAAAGATGTTATCTTTAATTATACTAGTGCTTTCTCCTTTAGCTGCATTATCTGGGTGTATAGTAGAATATACTCTATATCCCCTAAATTTTACGTATGACTGTTTAGTGAAGTGTGTTTCAGAAACGAGACACAGATCAATTTTCTCAATATCTAGTACTGCTTGCAACTCCATCTGATGTTGTGACAGTCCATTTGCGTTCCACGCCATTATTCGGAGGTCTTTAGCCATTTCTGATTTTCGGAATAGCTCCTTTAGCGGGTAGCTCTAATCGTGTAACTCTGATATCGATTTGAGTTATTTTGTCATCAATCTTGGTGAGCCTTTCCAATATCATTTTTAATGTAATATCAGTTTCTTTTTCTTGTTGTGATGATGCATGTCTCCTTACATTCTTTGTTCTTCTTCTTCTTCTTTAAGTTCCATCTTCTATCGAAGGTTGGAAATCATCATGGCTATGCGGACTCTGTTGACTGCCGCTCTAAAAAGTTCTGCACTACTGCATTCAAACCATTCCCTTAAGTTCTTAAGCCAGGATATTCTTCGTCTTCACACATTTTGCTTTCCTCGGATTTTGCCCTGCATAATTAGTTGTAATAATGCGTATTTTTGCCCTCTCATCACATGTCCCAAGTACTCAAGTTTTCGTCTTTTAATAGTTAATATTATTTTCTCCTCATTTCCTATCCTTCTAGTTACTTCCATGTTTGACATTCTTTGAATCCATAATATTCGTAGGATTCCTCTGTAACACCAAAATTCAAAGGCGGCCAACTTATTCAGATGAACTTGTTTTAGTGTCCAAGCTTCCAGACCATAAAGAAGAGTAGAGAACACGTAACATCGAAGCATTCTCAGGCGTAGTTCTAATCTTATATCCCGACAACAAAGAAACTTTTTAAGTTTAATAAATGATGTACGTGCTATTTCAATACGCGTCTTAATTTCTTTGGTTTGGTCTACATCTGATGTTATCCATGTTCCTAAGTATTTATAGTTATTAACATTCTCAATTGCAGTATCTTCAATAGTCAATTGGATATTTGCATGTGCAGATTTAGTCATGATCATGCATTTAGTTTTCTTTAAATTTATCTTCAGGCCGTACTCATGACAGCGTTCATTAAGGCGTTGCATTAGGTTCTGTAAATCATTGTTGTTATCCGTAATTATTACTGTATCGTCTGCAAAACGTAAGTTATTCAAAACTTCTCCATTGATAGATATACCTTCTATTGAGTCTGAGAGCGCTTCTTGAAATACCGCTTCACTGTAGACATTGAAAAGTAGTGGGGACAGCACGCAACCCTGGCGGACTCCTCTCTGTATTTTGATATTTTCGGTGTACTGGCTGTCAACTCTTACCTTGGCAATTTGGTTCCAATATAAATTAGATATAATTTTCAGATCACGACTGTCAATATTTTTGCTTTTTAATATATCTACAAGCTTTTTATGTTGAACTTTATAAAATGCCTTTTCAAAGTCTACAAAACATAAGTACATATCCTGATTCATGTCCATGCATCTCTGAGCCAGCACATTCAAGCCGAACAAAGCATCTCTTGTACTCATACCATTTCTAAAGCCAAATGGTGTGTCACTAATCTCATATTCACTCATTGTTAAAATTGTTAAAACTCATAAGAGTTTTAACAATTCTGCTGTGAATTATTTTCAAAAATGTTTTAAGTGTGTGACTCATTAAAGCTATTGTTCTGTGGTCTAAGCAAGTTGTTGAACTTGGTTTTTTGGGAATTGCTACAAAGGTTGATTGCAGCCATTGTCTGGGGATTGTGACAGTCTGATATATTAGATTAAAGAGATCAACCATTACATCAATAGCATCTTCATCGATGAGTTTTAATAATTCGATGGGCACCTCATCTGGTCCAGTAGCTTTACCCTCTTTTGTACATTCTTTGTTACATCGCTGTAACTTCTATTTTTAATGACCTCTGCCGTTTTTAGTTTTTTGCTTTCAATAACTCTATGGGGCGCTTTTATAACATTGTCTTTATTTGTTCTTTCGTTTCTTATTGTTTGTAATTTTTTAGCTACATAACATCCGCGGTAGTTTGCAGGATGGTTTTCTCCACAATGAACACATTTTGGTTTATCTTCTGGTGGTTTTTGGCAATCTTTAGTAAGGTGTTTACCAACACATTTTGCACATCTTGGTCCTTTTTTATAGTATTTCCAGGTGTGTCCGTAAGCCTGGTATCTTTTACATTGTGGGAATAATCTAGAACTCCTTCATGACTGTAAATCTGTATGTAGTTATATGTTTTCAGTCTCCATATTATAAGACGCGTTTGTTTTGCAAAGAGTTTGGCTAGTTCGTTACCAGGGATTCCTACATGACATGGAATCCAGATTATTGTTTATGGATACTCCCAGTGAGATTAAGCTATCGAAAGAGTTTTGACATATGACCTAGTACATACTTTTGAGAGAATACATAGACATTAAAGAGTCTGTACATATTGCTACTTTTTATATTCTGATAATAGTATGTTTGTAGCTTGGAGAATAGAGAATAATTCAGCAGTATATATGCAGCAGAAGAACAGGAGATTACAAGATATGATTAAATCTGTGTTTGAAGTTATAGAACATCCAACAGTTATAGGACTCTTAGAAGCATCTGTGTATACAATTTGGTCAAATCTGTTGTTAATTAATTCTTTAAAGGTTTACCTTAGAAATTAAGGATTTGTCTGATACTTATCATAATTAGTTAACAACAGATTAAAATCTGCTATTAATTTATTACAGAGAGGTTTAGGTGATATTAATATATTAGTTGTGGCTGAAAGATCTCTAAAATAATTTGTTGTCTATTGTAATCTAAAATTGTTTTTAATCTCAAGAATGTATTAAAAATGAAATAGTTATTTTAATAATAAAATTCTGATTTGGTAAGATTAACTTGATTATAAATTTATTAAACGACTATCTATTTAAGAATCTTTGAAGATAATTAATCATAAATTATAATTTTTCTTACAGCCAGTTGGCTACTTTCTATTGTTTTATTAATATAAGGACATACCTGGGATTTCCAAATTGTTATACTAACTACTTTCTCTTGTTTTGCTAAAGACATACCTGGAATTCTCAAAAAACACAAATATCTATTTCCCGTTCACTTTAAAGCTACTTTCATACTTTTTCGTTTGATACAGTCACCGTGTGAAACGCGTCTTAATTTTGTCTTAAATGAACTATTTTGCAAGTTATATATTGTGATGGTGCAAACAAAAGTTTTCGTCAGTTTTAAGGTTACCAATTTCTTCACCACGTTGTACACGAAAGAGTACAACGTTTTAAGTATCTGGGGGCCGTAATCACAACTGACAACGATGTCACTGAAGAAATAAAAGACAGAATCCAATCTTCAAACCGCTGTCTATTTGCACTGGATAAGCTCATAAATCAAAAAATCTCACAAGAAGTTCAAAGATCAAAATCTATAAATCCATCGTCAGACCTGTAATAACATACGGATGCGAAACGTGGATCATGACCAAAGCAAACGAAGAAAAGCTCAGACGCTTTGAACGAAAAGTACTTGGAAAAATTTTCGGACCTCACCATGACATCACCACAAACCAGTATAAGATCAGAACCAATATCGAATTAAAAGCCCTCTACAACGACGCCAAAATTGTACAAGAAATTAAATCACAGCGACTAATATGGGCAGGCCACGTTCACAGACTGTATAACGAAAGACTTGTAAAACTTGTAAGGGAGGAGATTCCCACAGACAAAAGACCACTCGGACGTCCCAGAATGCGATGGAGAGATAACATCCAAGCAGATCTCCGGAAAATGTACGTTCCATTTGACCCTAGGTTGATGGAAGACCGAACAAATTGGAAAAAAGTTGTACAGTCAGCCAAGACCCACCCAGGGTTGTAGCGCTACGTGATGATGATGAATTTCTTCACCGAACTAATAGCTTAGCTTTCGCATCTGGGTTATGATCATCTGTGGTTTGGGTGTGCAAACAATCCAAGGTATATTTATCAAGTAAATAAAGATCTAATATTGGTCATTTTTTAGGCAGAAAGAAATTAAAGGACAAACAGAACACATTCAAAAAACAAAACAGACATTTAATTTAATAAAGGAGGTAGTTTGTCTGTGGTGCACTACATTACTTATCTGATGGAGGAACTGTCTAACAGGAATTTATAAATTATAATTTTAATAAATAATACACATTTCGAAATATATCTCTTCAATAAATATAAACAACTTATAAATAATAAAACATCATACTTAATTTTCAACAAACAAAATACATTAACATCGACATTCCTATCCTAGTTGTTAATATTACTCTTCCCTTCAAGAACGTTCCCGTTATTCGTTAAATAGTTTTAGTAAAACCGATGATCACCTGTCATCAGATTACCATAACAGATTTTTAAACTATGTTTTCTCAAACATTTAATAATAATCCTTGTATCGGCATCATTTAGTTTACCATGTACCGTTGACCTGAAGATGCATAGCAAATTATAGTATGCGAGACCGGTCGTTGGTTAGAATACATTGAGTGTGCGTAAGTTATTTCTTTTACCTAATAATTTGTACACTTTAAACAAATAAACAGTACAAATAAATCAAACGAAGAAAAGTGTAACGTATACCACAGGAAACAATTCCTTTGTGGAAATTGTTATTACTGTTTCTTTGAGTCATCTTTTTTAAGTCAGCTTTTTCAAATATTTAGAAATACACTACACGTTATAAAATGAATCCTTTATTGATTAAGGAATAAATAAAATGACATGTTTGTTAAAAAATTGGTTTCGTATCTACAATACCCAATTTACACAAGCCAAGTAAGTATATATCTTACAAATACTTTAATTACTTTACACAATATAGTTTTGCAATGACTTCCGTTTTAATTTTTAATACTAATTGCATCTAATCTCCATAATAAGTAACAATATTATTTTCTGTCTCATATACTTCTATTTTGTGTAATAATTCTGGACTTGACATAATTCGTTTCAAAGATTCCCATATAAAAACACTGACATTCTCAGTTGTACTTGGTTTATCTGCAAAAAAAATGACATCTAAATCAAGATTTTTATGGTCCATTGGTTTTGTTATAGCTTCTTCCATGTACTTTTTTAGATCTGCCATATTCATAACCATACCAGTTTCATTATCTATTTCTCCACATACAGTAACTTTTACTAAATAAGAATAATAAATAAATTAGATACCAAACATAACTAAAATAAGTGATGCTTACCTACGTAGTTGTGGCCATGTCCATTAGGATTGTTACATTTGCCATAAATTTCTAAATTTTTTTTGTCAGTCAGATGTATACTGCAATATAAAAGAACATGTACATACATTTAAACATATTAATCTTAACATATCTATCAAATATTGATTTTGTAAAATAACCAGAAAAAACTAGCTCTAGGTATATATTATGTAAAAATAAAATACAAAATACAGAAATTCAAATAAAACAGCAAATAACTTAATATGTAAAAAGAATAATATATAAAAATATATTATATAAAAATAAAAATAATATAAAAATAATTTATTATGTAAAAATAAAATACAAAATACCAATAAAAAATAGCAAATAACTCAAAAAATGGTCATTATAAATATACAGGGTGCGGCAGATATACGGCCAATTAGAAATATGTACTTTGAAAAATTAAAGGCAAATATCGAGCACAATTTTATTCATCAAATCTTGCACAAGTACTTTCGCTTTCTAAAGTATCATCAGGGACATCTGAAATAAGCCAAGAAACGTTTTTTAAATGAAGAAAATTGATTAACTTCGATAAAAAACTCAAAGTTAATGGATGATAAAAGATTTGTGTGATTAACGTTTTAGACTTACTTCGTCAAAGTTGAGCTATCTAGCAAGCGCAAAATGTAATAAACATGAAAATAAAACATAAATTGTACATAACACTACACTAAACAAGGACAAACAGTTTAAAATTATTTAAAAATTATTCGACGCTACATTCTTGTCGGCAACAGGAGGGAGAATGGTATTTAACGGAAATGTTAAGGTGACATGTGACATATGACAGCTTTGATGGGTAGTAACAATCATGGAAATGTGATCTGCGCTTATTAAAATTCTATGTAAGTAAGCTGGCATTGACCAAAGGTCCAACTGACACTACTATAGGAAATCAGATTATGAAGTATGACATATAGAATATTTTAATTTAACTAGATTGCATAATGCAGATCTCACACTCACACCTGTCTATAATAATAAGGTTGTTAGTTTGTGATCAAATGAAGTGGACATAAAATGTTCATGAAAGAAATCTAAATCTAACTAAACAATATATTAGGCAGTGGCTGGTTGACTACAATAAAATGGTTTACCAGGCACTATCAATACTGTAAAAAAGGGAAGAAATCTGACTATTAAATTAAACTACTAAAAATTAAAAACAAATTGAAAGTAGTGTATAAATGGGGTATAATTCAAGTAAATCAGTTAAACCCCCAGTCAATGGAAGAACTATAAAACTAATACGTAAAAGCGTTACTAAAGACCAACTGACCAACAGTGGGAGATATTGAAATATATAACTGTGGAGATGGTATATCTAAATTACACAGAGGTATGGAAAGTGTAATTAACGAAACCTATAGATCAATTGAACTTGAGCAAGCTAGTTTTGTAAATTGTTGAAGAATACAATAGTAATGTTGATAAAAGTATGAAATTAATAAATTCTTAATGGGTATACTCAGTGTAGGAAGTCTAAACAGCCGAGCTGGGTCCACTACGAGGTGAAGCTGCAATAAAGTTTTTAAAAATAGGTTTAAACTTAGTACAATTTAAATTAATTTGAGTATTAAGACAATGAGAGTTTCCATTTGTTTCTTTTGTGATCTCCAAATCTTCCAATAAATCCAACTCCAAATAGTTTTTCTTTCTACCGATGTCATGTAAAATAGACAAATAGACATTACAAAAAACTTTTATCATCCATAACCTTCGAGTTTTTTATCGATGTTAATCAATTTTCTTCATTAAAAAAAAAAACGTTTCTTGGCTTATTTCAGATGCTCCTGATGATGCTTTAGAAAGCGAAAGTACTTTAGCAAGATTTGATAAATAAAATTGTGCTCGATATTTGCCTTTATTTTTCAAAGTTCATTTATTCGAGCATTCAACCTTATATCAATTAGAAATATCTCGAGAACTAAAGGTATGTAAATAAATCATAAAAATTAAAATGAAGGGGTTTTGAAGGGTGACCTATTTAATGAAAATATTTTTATCTATTTGCTCCTTCCGGTTATACCGGAAGTTTCTTTTAAGCTCATTTTTTTAATGGATACCCAGTATATTTTTTACTTTTAGAAATATTCAAGTTATTCTGAAATTTTTTTGTTAATACTTCCCTATACTTATGGTGAACCGTTTTTGAGTATTAATGATTTTATATCAAAATTACACTTTTCTAGCAAGCATATAAATATAAAGTTCAATATCCTTTAATGTAATTTGAATAAAATTTTAAATTCCTTATAAACTTATTAACCAGATACAGAATTAATGTTTACAGTGTAAAGTTGCATTTTTCATTATACAGGATGCTGTCAAAATTGGCATAAAACCGGCATGCTAAATTTTCGTCTAATTCCTTTTTTCAAATGGAACACCCTGTATGTGATTCATTATTTTAGAAAAATATGTTTTTCACTATCGATCTGTATTAGTATTCCCTATACCCTATATCTCTTGCAGTTTTCAAATTAATAAACTTTATATATTTTTGTCAATTTTTTTTTCGTAGACTGTTGTGTTAATTTACAACTTTCATAATAATATGTAAGTTAAACATTGAACAACTAAAAAAATACTAACAAAGAAAATAGGCACTAGCTTATTAATGTATGTAATAATAATTAGTTTAAATTTAATTAGTAATAAATGTTTAAAATGTTTCCTATCAATTTCCAATTATTTATGAATTCTTTTAATCAGATTTTCATTAGTAGCTATTGATATTGATTCTTTATCTATTTCGTTAAGAACTTGAAGCACTGAACCTATCACAGTAGTGACAGGTTCAGAGAACACCTTACTTTTAACATATCTCCAAATATAGTAATCTAACGGTGACAATTGTGGAGATCTTGGTGGCCAGAGAAACGAACCTTTTTTAGCTATCCATCTATCGCTAAATATTTCATCAAGCAATGTGCCGACTTCTCGATTATTGTGAGCTGGTGCTCCATCTTGCTGAAACCGAGCGTTGTTAGCTTCATTATTATGTAATTCGTGCAGTGCTGGTACAATTATATACAAGGTTCTTGAACTCCTAAGTGGAGCATAGAGCTTCAGTGAAAACGCGCCATCGGGTTCTATTTTGCGCTAAGGCCTTCACCTCAATCCAAGACTTTCCTTGGCCTCTTATCTCCATGATTGACCTTCTCCAAGTTTGTACTGGGCGACCTCTTTTTCCTTTCCCTTGGGAATTACACTCTAGGATAGTTTTTGCGATACTGGAACTATTTTTTCGGAGTCTGTGACCGATCCAACCCCACTTTCTGGACTTAATTTCATTTTGTACTCTTTTTTGTTCGGTCAGGTGTAGCAGATCTTCGTTTCTGATGGTGTTAGGCCAGAATATACGGACAATTCTTCATGGACATTTGTTAACAAAGACCTGCAGTTTGTCTGTGAGGATGTTTGTCACTTTCCAGGTTTCACATTCGTAGAGTAGAACAGAGATGACATTTGATCGGAATATTCGGATCTTTGTCCTTGTAGTATACTCGCCAGATCTCCAAACAGGGTTAAGCGTGTTGAAAGCTTGTTAGGCTTTTCGTATCCTCATACGAATATGGTCTTCTGTACCTCCATTTTCTGTTATGACACTTTCAAGATACGTAAAGATTTCCACATTTTCAATCTGCATATTGTCGATAGTAAATAGCGTGTTGTTCCTTGCATTTATTCTCATAGACTTGGTTTTACTAATATTGATTTTTAAACCTATTTTATTGGCTTCAGTGGAAAGTGTTTCCAATTGGTAAGCCAGATCTTGGAACCTCTGGCCTAATAGGCAGATATCTTCCGCGTATTCTAGATCACTTAGGCGTGTGGTTAACGTCCATTGTATCACTCTCGTGTCGGAGTCTAGTTTGGAGAGAACATAGTCTATAGCTATGTTAAAAAGAAACGGAGAAAGCACGCATCCCTGTCTAACTCCAGTAAGTACGTCGAATTCACTGTTGATCCCATTGTGTGTCAAGCTGCATTTTGCATCAGTATATAGTGACTTTATAATAGAAATTATTTTTTGCGGGATGTTTCTTAGCTCTAAACTTTTCCATACAGCAGCATGAGACAAGCTGTCAAAGGCACGTTCAAACTCAACAAAAACCATGTATAAGGGTGTGTTCCATTCAACCGATTGTTCCATTATTACCCTCACAGTATACCTAACCGTGACCTCGGGGTCTTTGTGACCAGAGAAACGGATATTTATTAGCTATGCGTCTATCGCTAAATATTTCATCAAGCAATGCGCCGACTCCTCGAATATTGTGAGCCGGTGCTACATATTATTGAAACAAGCCTCGTTAGCCTTATTATTATCTAAAGCGTGCAGTGCTGGTACAATTACTTCCCGTAAAATGTTGCAGTGATGCTCTTCTTTTAAATTTTCGTCATAAATCATGAGAGCGGATATCTTATTATTTTTCACAGCACCAAATACATTGAACGAACAGAATGCTTGAAATTTACTATCCCACGTGAGCTGAGGATTTTCGTCACTCCAGAAGTAATTGTTATGGAGGTATACCATTTTTTGTAAACTTCGATTCATAACACCAAATCATTTTTTTGTAAAATCTTGATCTTGGCATTTCATTAAAACACATTCACAAAATTCTACACGTCTTACATAATCTGCAGGATGTAAATGTTGAGCTAGTGTATGCGAATAACGAGTCCAATGATGTTTTTTAAAATACTGTGAGTTGTTTAACTAGATACCTGTAACAATTGCTCACATTACTGTAAAGATGAATTTATTGTTATATTATTTCTCTATAGTTTATTCATTAAAATTTAATATTCCATATACTTGTTACATTTTTTAGACATCTATCAATTATGAAGTAATCTTGTTTTTTATTACTAAATAAAAAATAATTTTTTATTAAGTAGGTAATAAAAAACAAAACAAATTTTTTTATTTTTGGCAATATAATTGTCAAAAATGAAAATTGTAAGTTGGTCAAAAAACTGTCAAACTTGAAGCAAAGTTTTTGAAGAACTTCTTAACAATTTATCGATTTTGTCCATT